TATATCATTGCTAAAATATATATCGAATCCAAACTTTTTCATTAATAGCCCCACCAGTCCAGGTGATTTTTTAGCTCAATGTTGAAACCAAAAAAAACTATATAATATATAACCGTATAAACATAAGAACCCAAGTAAGATGTGGGACACAGTCCACTATATATTTAAAAAAAAAATTATTATTTTTATATCATATATTGCAACCAACATGTTTAATTTTTAGTTAAAATATTTAAATTTTTATCCTATTTCATTAAATCATTATTTTAATAAATAATATTAAAACAACAATTTTTATCTATTTTGTAATTATTAAGGATTAAAATGAATTTTATTTGATGTAATATTAAACTTAAATGTTGTATATTAACATAAGTGTAATATATTTATCTTAACAAATAAATAACCCATAAATTCAGTGCAATTATTTATAGTAATAGTCTCTTAAATTGGCATAAGTGACACTAATTTCTTATATTAAAAGTGAATTAAATTTAATAGATAAATATTTTTGACATTAAACAACTTACTAGGAGTATTAATATTATGTATGAAGTTTATTTATCTTTTACATAAACGGGTTACCATTATTCAAAGCATTGATATGATATTATATATCACTTATAGATGTCATTTATAGGATGAAATTTAAATTACGATCCATCATCCTGGTTTAACCCCGGTCGCTGTACTATCAAAAACTTAATCCGTCTCCTTACTTGACCTTCTAGTAGACGTCATTATTAATCTGTGTTTTGCCTAACCTTGACAAAATCTACATTGACGGGGACTTCAAAAAAAAACAAGCTTAAAAAATTTTCATAAAATAACTTCAATAATATAATATAACATCTATCAAACTTGACGTCAAGAGAACGTGGGAAGTTGTTCGTGAGAGTATAAAGAATATAGCGAGGGAATTACGTCATTTTACACACACACAGATATATATATATATATATATATATATATATATATATATATATATATAAAAGAAATAATAATAATACTAAAATAGGCACTACGATAGGGATCACCGAAGACTCGTACCGAGACTAATTAACGTCCGAAGACCTAGGCCACTTAATACTATCCAATCAGGTAAATTGAAAGGGAAAGTGCCCTCCCAACCTTCCTTCGCAGGGAGGGGGTGTCGAAAGGCTGCCATATTTTTAAGGGAAACAAAAAAGGAATATTTTTAAATCAAATTAACATGTACCAGGAGCAACTTGAAGATCAAAAACTTATGCCAGGACCAATCAATGTCCCAAACTCCTCGATCGTCGAATCTTATCCGGACAGGCGGATTTGAAGAACAAGTGCCCTCTCAATCTCCCTTTGTAAGGAGGGGACGCCGAAGGGCTACTAGATTTTTAAGGGAAATAAAAAAGGAATATTTAAATTAAATTAACACTTGCCACGAGCAAATTGAAGATAAAAGACTTATGTCAAGACCAGTCAACGTCTCCACCTTCCTCATACCCAACATCAGTCATAGCCCCTATATCCACCAATGTCACCCCCAATTAGTCCACGACCTAGTTGGAGATGAAATTATGGGTAGTCCCACTATCAATCAACACCACCACCTCCCTATCTGATATTTCTCCCTTTACTTTCATTTTATGACTCAGAGTGAATCCTACCACTGAATTTAGGGAGACCTCTGCTACGGCTAGATGCAGCTTATCCTCCTCTACCCATGTCTCACTCCCATCTCCCTTAGCTTCCTTGTCATCACAGACGGTGAGAACTGAAGAGTTTGGTCCCTGAACCTATGCCCCGGAGTATACTTCTCATCACATCTGAAGCATAATCCCTTCGCCCACTTTTCCTGTATTTCCCTCTTAGTCATCTTTTTGAAGTTTCCCCCACTACAGGCTTCTCCCTCAAAGTTTCACGAAGGTTGTCCAATGTAGGCCCCTTGGGTGCTAAGTGTTGAGTCTAGTGAATAGGTTGTTAAACCTAAGTTAATGTCCCAAAGCTACCAAGAGGAGGGTGAATTGGAATTTAAAAAATATCCCTCTTTTAGATAAATTGAACCGAAATTAAACTTTAATGAATTTTTATAAAAAGCTTTTCAGCCACAATTTTTAAACAACAAAAAAATGCAGAAAATAAAAAGCAGTGAAATAAACGACACATGATTTATAGTGGTTCGGTCTAAACCACTGCTACTTGGATCTCTGATTTGAGCCCCTTGATGAAATTTCCCTCCATGACGGTCTCAGAAAGCCGATCCAATCAACTCGTCGGGTATTCAAATCTCTCATGGTACTCTACCACCGAGCATTCCTGTATCAAGACAAAGAATTGTTCAAAAAAGTCTCCTCCTCTACTAGATCGAAAACACTCCAATAAGCACTCTTTGAACTCCCTCCAACTCTGTATGGACCGCCACAAATATCTCTGCTAGTACCAAGTCAACACCTTACATTCCAAACATAGGTCGGCTGTCATCAATCTCTCCTCCTCTATCAACCCATTGACGACGAAATATCTCTCTACCTTGCAAATCCACCCGTGTGCATCCTCTCCCTCAAAAATGGGCATCTTCAACTCCCTGGCCTTCGGATCTCCCCCATTTTCTCTAATTCCTCCATAATTTCCCCTTTCCTCAAGTGCCCCCCACCCCCCATAAGTATCCCGATCCTCCCTTCCTCGTTCGTACCCAAACCCTTCTTCTATTTCCCCTTTCTTCCTTCAAAATCAGCACCTCTCCAGCCATAATCTCCCTCCTTTCCAAATCAACACCCCTTTACTCATGCTCCACATATCCATGCCTCTCCCCATACATTCCACCGCATTCCTCCTTCTGGAAAGATTCTAGATGGGGACTTCTCCCTTCTCCCTCCAACATCTCCACATCATTTTCATCACTACGATTTTTAGAGTTTGTATTTCTTCCTCCCGACACTCTTGCTTCTGACACTGCCGTTCGGTTTTGATGCTCCAACATCTTCTTCACCATCTCCTGAAGGTCAGAAAATTTGACTTCCATGGAGGAAATTCTATCCTCCACTGTCTCTTTGATTTAGCTCTTCTCCCCCTCGAGAAGTTCTTCCAAAGCATCAACCTTTTTGGCCGCCATCAACACCCGGATCGATGTTAAAATCAAAATTCAGGAATTTAACCAGAAAAACAGCAAAAACCAGTGAATATGATGAAATCTGCTGCAGAAATCACTCCAATTAATCCAAATTTTAGCCCCGAACACTGATTTGATATCAATTTGATAGGAAACACATGTAGAACTCCGATGCTTCTTACCAATATATTGGATTTCAACTATTTTCTCCCAAGATTCTCCAAACAAATCAAGCAAACAGCGAGCAAACACATAATAATTGATGAAAGTGGAAGAAAAATACCAAGATATAATTGATCCTCAATTCAAGAGGATCGTTCCCTCCCAAATCTCTAGACGTCACTAGAGCCCAAGACGCCAAAGCCTCCAACAAAAAATTCAGCAAAGCATAGATGATCCTAACCCTAATGCACTCCCATCTACTTAAAGCAAACAATAATCTCTCAGGAAAAAAAAAACATACAATAATCTCTCAAAAAAGACTAAACAACCCTCCCCTAATTCAAAATCCCTCATAGCCACCCATTTCTCTCTCTCTATTCAAGCAGTGGACACAAAAAATTCAGCAAAGCATAGATGATCCTAACCCTAATGCACTCCCATCTACTTAAAGCAAACAATAATCTCTCAGGACAAAAAAAAAAAAAAACATACAATAATCTCCAAAAAAGACTAAACAGCCCTCCCCTAATTCAAAATCCCTCATAGCCGCCCATTTCTCTCTCTATTCAAGCAGTGGACCCCACCCCAAGCGGGCGGGAATTGCCTTGGGCGGAAACAGCAGGCTTCTGCCTGCTGAAAAATTGGACCAGCCCTTTGTCTAGGGCCGCCTAGGCCGATTCAGGTGGGACCGGTATAACACAATTGAGCGTACCAAAGCTACAAACACAGCAGCTATGGGCAAGAGTAGTGGATGTAAGTGAGTGTTGCAGCTAGATGGGGACAAAAAAAAGTGGAAGAGGGAGGGAGGGATCTAAGGTAAGAGCTCAAAGGGCTCTCATACCATGGTAGAGAGAGAAGCTTTTTGTGCCATATATGATTGAATTAATACAGGTGCTTATATATAGCCAAATAGAAAGAACAAAATAATCAAGTTAATGATATGAAGAATATCCTCAATTATGAGGATATATTATAATAACTAAATCATTTTCTTGCTCTGACAACCGTTTTAATATAGCAATTCTATTTCACAATTCATTATCAAAAGTAACAATCAACCAGAGAGAGGGATTTAGTATAAACTTCGAGCTAAACAGAAGTGGATCAAAGTTCTTCAATTTGAATATCCGCCTATCTTCTCCAAGCTACTTCAATATTTTGATATTTTGCAACAAGAAATTATAATGGTGCTAAAGCAGAAATATAAGTTAAATTAGAAAATAGTCGATACAAGATATGGACCATAATTTGATGGGTCAGTAATATATAGTTGCATAGTGATACATACTGCAAATATATAGTTGCATAGTGATACATACTGCAAAACAAAGAAATTGTTCGTACAATTGTTTTTCAAAAATGGAACATTAAACATCTCACCATAACATCTAAAACTGCAAGCAAAATAAGCATGCATTGCAGTTGAATTTTCAGTCTATAAGCGCAACTCTAGAATACAAGAAAAACATGGAATAGAAGGATACTATTTAATTTACCTCAATTTTCATAAATTCAAATTGAAGTTTGACATACACATAAGCTCAATCAATGACATGCAGAAGCTAATAATAGAGTTATACCAAATATTACTGTGGTAGAAGTTTCAATTAATGATAAGATGACACTAATTGACAAAAAAGAACATACCAATATATGTGAGGCACTTGATCCAGACTTGAGGCCAATGCCATAAGATGAGTAATGAGCCCATTCGCTAAGTTTAAACATCCACCTAGTGTAGTAAAGTAGGGAAAAAAAGTAATGTTTTACTCCGATGTTGAGTACATAGTTCTGAATATCCAACATCCATCTCCAGAAGAGTGGTAACGCATTAATGTAATTGAGATGGATGATAAAAGTATCCTATGCCATAAGAAATGAAATCTCACCCATAAGAAGCCTGCATATCTGTTAGGAACCCCCCTGTCATGACCTGATTTCCAGTTCCCTCATCAAAGCATAAAGTCAAGTGAATTATATCATTCATCCTATCAAATTTTCCAAGAGCCTCGCCGCATACAGGGCAATTGCTGATGAGTGATTCTCTGCAGTAGAAAATGACTAGAGATCAGACCTGCAAACAAATTATAAAGAACGACACAAAATCTACAGAAATATCCTGGAAGCACAAACACACTCTGTAGAGTTCTAAAGCCAATACCCGAAAAAAAATCAACAAATCAGGGCACTCTCACATGTGCTATTTAGTGTTTCTCATTCTTCTCTTGTCCTGTGAATTTTTCAACATTTGAACATTAAAAAGGGACACCACTTGTAGAACACAACTTATGCCACTAACCAACTATAACTTGAAATGAGATCTTTCTAGGTTCTGAATCATTCTAGTCTATAATTTCCCCTTGATAACTTTGTCCCTTACACATTTCTTAAATTAAATCTCAAAATAATACCCTAACTATACTCGCATGGCCAATTTAGTCCTGAATACACATTTGTCCAATTTAGTCCGTCGACCAATTAAACGTCATATTTCTATCTCCTGCTTGGCTATACAATAATAATGTATAATAGATGTTTGTATGGATGCGCTACTTATTTTTAATAAACATTGAAACTCCATATTTGAGTTATTATTCCATATTTTCTAAAATTTACAATGTCACATCCATGCTTTAAAGAATATCAACAATGAAGATGATCATCCATTTTTCAGAGAAAATAATCAAAATAGTGAAAAATATTAGATCATTACTCTTCTTGCTCAACAGCCAGAAGAGTTGCCAATTCATCCATATCCACAACACCATCTCCATTACTGTCTGCCAACTTGAATAGCTCTTCTTTCTACAAAGCATAATGATCCATTAAACAGCATAAGAAGTGTGCTTTATAAAGGAATTTTATACGTGCATAAAAACTGCACAAACCTTGGATGCCGCTACTTGATTACCGAATACTTTGATTAAGGTGCTAAACTCATCATAGGTAAGCTTTCCATCTTCATTGTAGTCCTGTTTTCATAATCACATGATATATAAAGTGATACCTATAGAGAGAATCGACAGCACAAAATTTTTGTTTCGTGATGACTACAAAAACAAAAAAGAAAAGCGTGATAAGAAAAGTATGCTATAGCGAATTAGTTGGCAATCTAGGAGAGCAGGGGCGTAATAAAGATCAAGTATAGATAAAAATTGATTATTCATGGAAATTAGTAAACATCACGGAATTTTAAAAAAAAAATGTAAAGGATTGTGAGCTTCGTGGACTATCTCTTTTCTCATATTTTCCTTTGATTTTTCTTTATTTATTTTGATTATTCTTTCAATCAGCCCAGGTGTGTTACTTATTCAATCAGTTTTCCAGTTATGATATTTTCCTCCTCTTAGTTACGTTTGTTGGGGAAGAGTTGAAAAGGAGTTGATAAAGGTTAGAGGAAGCTGAAATTTCCATTTTGTTTTTAAAAAGGTAAGTGACAGTTAAGAAATAATAAGCGGTTAGGGTGAGGCAAATGAAAGAAAACAATCTCAAATTATTAAAAAAAAAAAAAAAGTTCAAGCCACAAGTCTTGCTAACGGAGATTTGAAGTTAAACTTTTGTAATTATACTTTCTAACTACCTATTACACAATCACACCTTTTGACACCGTCAAAAAATAAACAAACCTAATATAGATGAAGAATTGGCAAGGCTGAGAGGAGGAGACCATGGAACAGATGAATGAGCACCACAAAGGTAGGGAGGCATGTGGCAGACAGAATCAAAAGAAAGTCATACCAATAAGATGAACAGCAATTGAATCCACAAAAGGGCTTCAATTCATCAAAACCTCTCATTACTAAATTACAAGCTCCTAGGCCCTATATAGAAATAGGACTTAATGAAATTTAATAAAATTATCTTAGAAAAAAGGAAAATGCCAAATTAATCTCAACTGAGACATTTAACATACTAAAAGTGAAGAGAAAACAAACTCATAACCAAAGACTTAAAGGTACTTGCACTTCATCAATTCCACTGGCTTATAAATAATTGTAATCCGAAGGATTTATATTTTGTCAAGGAAGAACTTGAGATATTCAATTATATAGCAAAATCAATAAAACCAATCCTGAAGAAGAGAGATGAATGAGGAATACATTTCGAAAAATTAATATGAATTAGAAATCAATATGCGATGCAAAGACATTAGCTTTTAATGATTTATATAATAGATTAGATACTGAGGAGGGAGAAAGATATATGTATAAGTTAGTCAAACAAAGAGATAGGAGTAGTAAGGATTTAGTTCAAGTGTAGTGTATTAAGGATGAAGATCAAAAAATATTTTTCTTAAAAGATGATATTCAACAAAGGTGGATGAGATATTACGCTAAACTTTTTAAAGAAGATTGTGAAAATAAGATTGACTGTAGTGACTTTAGCACCCTAAATGAAAATAAAGATTCCTGTTTTTTTCGGCGTATTAGTAAAACCGAAGTTAGAGTCTAAAATTGTTGGACCTGATGATATTCCAATAGAGGTGTGGAAATTCTTAGGAGATGAAGGTATTTCTTGGCTTACTAAACATTTTAATAAATTATTTTCAAGATTAAAAAGATGTCAGATGAGTGGAGAATGAGTGTGTTAATTTTCATTTTTAAGAATAAAGGTGATGCACAAGATTGTGCGAATTATAGAGGAATTAAGCAATGTTTAAAATTGTGTATTCGAGTATTGAGGCGTTTTTCATTCGTGAGGCGAGGCGTAAGCCTCAAAATCAAAAGATTGCGTAAACATAAAATGATAAATTTTTTATATACTAATGAGAGAATAATATAAAACATAAAAAAGCATAAGATATGAAGTGAAATAAAAAATATCTCAATAATAAGACAACATGAAATATAGTTCAACTCAAAATTCTATCTTTCCCAAATCCCAGTATTCCTTTCATTAACATATAATTCCAATTTCCAAAAATAAATAGCAATGAAATATCACATAAGAACTTATAAGTCATCAGCACTGTCATCACTAAGGGGTTCTTCATTTGAATCATCATTATGGTGAACTGGTTTCTCCCTTTCCTCCTCTCCTATAGAGTACAATGTCGGGCATTTACTTCAAGATTTATTTATGTTTTAATATATATAGTGTGAGGCGTAAGCCTCATGCCAGTGAGGCGAAGAGGGCCTCAAGGCGGGCCTCAACCAAGTTGAGGCGCAAGCCTCATAAAAAAATTCAAGGCGTAAGCATTGAGGCATTTTTTACTGGAATTGCGCAAAGCGGGCCTCAAGGCGAGCCTCATATTGCGCAATTTTAAACCATGGAATTAAGTTAATGTGTCATACTTTAAAACTATGGGAGCAAATTATGGAGCATAGGTTGTGGCGTGATACAAATGGTTCTCAAAATCAATTTGGATTCATGCCGGGTAGGTCAACTATGGAAGCAATACATTTATTAAGAGGTTTGATAGAGAAATATAGAGAAAATAAGGAGGATCTACATATGATATTTATTGATTTAGAAAAAGCATAAGATAAAGTTCCAAGAGAAGTGCTATGGAGAGTTCTTGAAAATAAAGGAGTTAATAATGCTTATATTCAAATCATTAAAGATATGTATGCAGGAGCTATTACTTGTGTTCAAACACAAGGTGGTTTGACCAAGTATTTCCCTATTTCGGTTGGGTTACATCAAGGATCAGCCTTAAGCCCATATCTTTTTGCTTTAGTCATGGATGTTCTCACTAGACATTTTTACAGGATGTACCTTGGTGTATGCTTTTTGCTGATGATATTCTTCTTGTTGATAAGACTAGAGAGGGAGTTGAAGGTAAATATGAATTATGGAGATCAACCTTAGAGTCTAAAGGTTTTCGCTTGAGCAGATCTAAAACGGAATATATGGAGTGTAATTTTAGTAGTAATAGACCTAGTGAGGGGATTGTGACTTTGGGCAATCAAGTCATTAATAAGAGTACATGTTTTAGATATCTTGGATCTATTGTTCAGAGTGACGGTGAAATAGATGGGGATATTATCAGCAGAATTCAAGTTGGATGGTTGAAGTGGAGAAATGCATAGAGCTTGTTATGTGATAGAAAAGCACCCCTCAAACTTAAGGAAAAATTCTATAAGATGGTGGTGAGGCCTGCAATGCTTTATGGTGTCGAATGTTGGCCATTAAAAGAGAAGCATAATACTAAGTTAAGTGTGGCAGAGATGAGGATGCTCAGGTGGATGAGTGGCTTTACCCTTAGAGAAAGGATATGAAATGAGCATATATGTGAAACGGTTGGAGTAGCTCCAGTAGAAGATAAGATTAGAGAGAGTCGCCTTAGATGGTTTGGTCACATAAAACAGCGGCCTTCCGATGACCCGGTTAGGAGAGTAGAGGTATTAGATTTGACTTGTGTTAAAAGAAAGGTAGAGGCATACCAAAAAAGACTTTGTTAGAAAATATTAGGAATGACCTTTCTTTATTAGATTTAACCGAGAATTTAACTTTTAATATGCACAATGGAGAAAAAGGATTTATGTAGTTGACCCCCACGTAGTGGGATAAAGGCTTGATATTGTTGTTGTTGTTGTAGAAATCAATCCACGAAGGACGAGACTAAGGGATAGAATCACTTTATCAATAAAGATATCTCGGAAACTTGACAATCTTCATGCGTTGTACTAAAAAGATAGAGGTACTAACAAGCTAAAGAGCTTTTTCTTTATCATTTTGATTTACGATTGTGTTATGCAATTTGGGAATTGGGTTGATCAATCAGATTAAACTATTTGCAAGGTTACTATTACAATTTGTAAGATTGTTGGAGCTTGGATGAGTGTTGAGGAGGATTTATATGAGATCATTGTACGAAGAATGGGGATAATGCTAAAGATTTGTGGCTACAAGAAGGATTTAACTGGATTAAGATTGCATGCAATGGTGTTTTAGTGTGTAAGCAAGTGAGACTATAGGAGTGTGATGCAAGCAGAGCAATACACTAAAATCACAAGCGAGAGGTACGAACTGTGCGAGGATAAGCCAGGACGTGGGTGATGCATAATGCTACAGAGCGATGTGTAGATGTGGGAATTCAAGTACAAACTTTTAAGTAAGATGCAACTTCGGACACAACAAGCAAAGAGAAAGTGGACATTCATGAGCAGAAAGAGGGCTGCTTGAGGAGGTAATCAGAGAGAAAGACATTAAGAAAATGACACAACTTATATTGTTGGGCATGTTGTGGATGCAATGCGGTCTGAACCAATGGCATCGAGGAAGGAGAGGAGCGAGGCCAACCATCATCGTGGAAGGAAGGGAGCGGGTCCAACAATAAAGTCAAATCTACTAATTAATATTAAGCTCCAAGTCAAGTCAAATAACAGCAAGGCAGATCACAAGAGTGCGCTACACAGAGAAGAGGCATGGTGGACGTTCAGATGGAATTTCCCTTAATCAATTTGTTTCTTGAAGATAAGCTTAATGGCAAAGAAGATTAAAACTAGCAAGAAATATATGATGGAGGCTCTGATCCTGGTGGAGCTCTAATCCATGCAAAGCTTCAGGAACTTGGGTTTACTGCAAATTTTAACATTTTTTAATGATAGAAAGACATCCCAAATATTTTTATAAAGTGGGCACAATGCTAGACACATATTTTAGTATGAGAAAAAAAAAGGAGCCAAGCTCTTGATACAAGAACCAACAAAATGTATGCTTAATTTTTTTGAAGAAGAAAACAGCAATGTGAATAATAGGGATAGAACACATGACCTAATGTTGGTGGCTAAGGCATGAACCATTAGGCCAAGGCCAAATTCATACCAATCTTGACAGTTTTTTAAGCAAAAATCATATAACAAATCAATGAACTGAGTTTAATAACAAGAAATTACAAAGAATTGCTAAAAAAAGGAAAGTAAGAAAATACACTATTAAAGATAACTGGATAATAACAAAGCAATAGTGATGTGGACATCGATTAGAGATTCAAGCATGTGTATCGCCGGAGACGGCGCCGATCGAC